GATAATAATGTATTTAAAGATGAACTTGTATCTGTTAACGTGCCTCAAAAAAAGGGCAAACCAGATGTAAGTTTTACTACAGATGAAGAATATAAAAGAGTCAACTTCGAGAAGTTTAGCAAATTGAATACAGTTTTTCAGGTAAAGTTGTACATACTTTACTAATTTATTTGTATTTAAAGTTTTTGTTTAATATATACTTCCTCTACATATGTATTCTTATTTGTATGTGCAGAAAGAGAATGGTACAGTGACAGCTGGAAACGCGTCTACTCTAAATGATGGTGCTGCTGCTTTAATCTTGATGACCAGTGATGTCGCTCAAAAATTGAATCTCAAGCCTTTGGCTAGGATTGTCGCTTTTCAGGATGCGGCAACGGATCCTATAGATTTTCCAATTGCACCGGCTTTTGCAGTGCCATCGGTGAGTTCTTCTATTGATATTAATTTTTTATAATAGGAAAATACTAAAATTTTTGTTTTCATGTCTTTAGCTGCTTCAAAATGCTGGGGTTAATAAGAATGATATAGCTCTGTGGGAAATCAATGAAGCATTTAGCGCGGTGGTTGTGGCAAATCAGAAATTACTCGACATTGATCCTGCCAAGGTAAATGTTCACGGTGGTGCTGTTTCACTTGGACATCCCATAGGGTGAGTTATTTGAATACATTTTATTGTTTCGTACACCTTAATGCGTATTATAAAATTAATATAAACTTTATAGCATGTCAGGAGCACGTATCGTAGTACACTTGGCGCATGCACTTAAGGCTGGAGAAAAAGGCGTCGCATCAATTTGCAACGGGGGTGGTGGAGCGTCATCAATCCTGATTGAAAAATTGTAAGTTCGAAGATTATCACGGATGCCATTTCCATTTGCACAAACTGGACAATCTATTTTTAATATCGCGATAATATGAATTATATTATATGTTATTATATGTACATAAAAAAAAGCAGTTATTTTTATACTAAACGGTACGTTATTAAAGTACTGTATTGTATAATTGTTAACTAGTTGTTAAAATACTGTAACTGAAAAGCTTTTCTTATTTGTATAAGATTATTGTTTTATAGAGTATTTTACACTTTTCTACGATATATATATATATATATATATAGAATGGCTTTTGAATACATAGAAGTATTTAAAAATTTTTTACGATATATTTTTATTATACATTTTATTGTACTGCACATGTCTCGTTGCATTATATATTTTGTTGTATGAATGTATAGAAATAAACTGTTTTACATCAGTAACTTGATTAATTTTCTTGACTTTTATGTTGAATTGTAATGTGCAAAGGAGATCTCTCAAAAGTGGAAGCATGTTATATGATTTTTAGGTCTCATCCGATATCTTCTCCACCAAAATTAACATTGTACACAAAGAGCCCGTGTCTGCTTTGCGACGTTTTAAAGAACGAACTGCGTTTACATTTCGCCAGTCGTTATCATTTGGAAGAAGTTGATATAGCTGCTCAAGGAAACGAACAGTATTTCCAGTTGTATAAGTATGATATACCAGTCCTCTTTTTAGAAGGTCAGTATCTGTGCAAACATCGGTTAGATGCCGACTTGTTAGAAAGGAGACTTGATGAATTGGTTTCAAGGAAAGATAAATGTACACATTAATAAGATGTTAAAACTTGTTCTATTGTTACATTCGTTCAAATGTCAATTTTATTATATATGCCATGTAATAAAATTTTATTTTGTATATATAATAAGATATACATATACATATTATTAAATATGTGTAAAATATATAGAAAAAATCACATGTTTAGTTTACACAGATTATATCATTTTGATAAAATTCGAAAAACTTCAAAAAAATATTTTTATAACATTTTGTACAACAATAATATCATTCAATAAAAAAATCTACACGAACGAAGATAATCGTTCCTCATACTTTTTTTTTAGCACTGGTGAATATAATTCTATTTACCAAATTGTTCTATCAGGTTAATATTTTAATGTATTTTGACATTAATAAATCACGTATCATATGTTTTAAAAGATATTTTTATGATTAATATAAGATCTGTTGCATCAAAATTACAATTTACATAGGCTATTAAGAATCTATCAAATATTTTTTAATTATAATTGATAAAACAAATTCCTTTTAAAGACTGATAGTTCTAACATTAATTATGATTAATAAAATTTCTCCAAATCTTTTCTTTAATCAAATATATATATATATATATATAAAGGATTACAAATCTGTTTACCTTTTCCGAACAAATAACTTTTATTGAAAATCTTCTACGTTTCTTTTCTGTTTTATTAATCTCATTTATATTTAATCGTGCATGTAGGTTGTAAGTTTATGGCTATGGTTGCACCCTTGAGTTGTGACAGGGTCTTGTGATTGTCCGCAAATGGCATGGCTGGACCCGAGGCTCAACCAATCTCGAGCTTCCATATCCGCCTTCGCATCCGTTCTCTCTTTTTATTTCTCTCTCTCTCTCTCTCTCTCTCTCTCTCTCTCTCTCTCTCTCTCCACTCTTTCTCTTCACAATGTTTCGTCTTCTCTCTCTACCTTGCTTTTATAACAAAGAAACCAAAAAATAATGCGATGCGAGGTTTCCACAATTCTGTTGTCGATTGCTATTCACAAATTAAATTATTATAGTTATATCGGACTATAGTTATTCAACAAGTTAAAATCTCGATAATCATTTCCTCTGTATCGGACCAAGCGATGCTTCAAATTATTTAAATACAGAATCGAAAAATCGGTATAATCCCAATAAATTCGAAATTCGACGCACATGAATACAAAATTTCAATACAATCTCTAGCGCTGCGATGATAGAATCGTATGTGATGTGACGATAGAGACCTACATTGTTTTTGTGCGAAAGAGAATACGCGAACAATTTACATCGATGTGATTTATTTCTTTTCGCTTTTCTCTCCGTTCCTATCTGTCAATCTTTCCTGTCTCTCACAGATATCAGTCAAACGCTCTTTTTCCGGCAGGTATCGAGATTTCGAAAGGAACGCTCATCGATCGGGATGCTTTTATTAAATTAGCAAAACTAAATACTTGTAAGTAATTATAAATAAATTGCAAAGTATTTCGCGAATTCATTTTGAATCTCAAAGCGTCTATCGTTCAATCAACTAAGAATACATTTTCTTGGTGGATTCTAATAGTGAATTCGGCCGCATTACTCTGGATTAGTGCATATTAAAATTTTAGTTACTGTTTCTTTTAAACTATAATAATTTGATTCAGAAAACTAATCCACTTTGTTAAAAAAAAAAAAACTTTATTTTAGTTTAATAAATATATAAAAATGAGAGAACAAGACTATGTTGTTTTATTAAAATAAAAGTTTTTTTATGTGTGTCCAAAAATGATACACACAGTTTCTTATTAATTGTGTACTTTTTTTGGTACACATAACAGTTAAAATATTAAAAAGATTTCTCCATATAAAGTATCTAAATGCAGTGACATAATTAACTTTGCCAATTTAAATAATACATATACTCTATTAAATAATACAATATAACAATGTTATTATATTGGACATTGAATCGTTCGAAATATTCATGTTACGCTTTTACATTTAACTTTGCAAATTTCACAATTTCATACATAAGAATTTTTAAAATGCACTAATTATCTAATATAATACAAGTGCACTTGGCACTCTGGATCGCTTTACGCTATCCCTCACGTGTTTATTTATGATTCTAATTGATATCTAATACACATTCTATTGGTAATCGCATTCTTAAACATCGATCGATACTCTACAATAAGTGTCACGAGGGTCAACGATATCATTGGAGCAACAGTTCTGTCTCTCGATTCTTGCGTCCGTCTCGGCTTCTTACCTGTTTCCATTCCCATCCTCCACCTTCAGATCCTTGCATTTCTCTCTCTCTCTCTCTCTCTCCCTCTCTCGGACATTCTCGTTCTCCCTTTCTCTACGATAGACCGGACCCGCGATCTCTCTCTTTCTCTCTTTATTTTTCCCCTTCCGCCACTTCGCGCGTGCGTGCGTGTGGGTGCGTGGATCGGCGGTTGAATTGGTGAACGGACGAATGCGGACTTGCAGTCCGTTGCTCGCAGTCGGCAGCTCGTTCCTCCTCAGTGCGTGCCTTACATGGGCACCGTGAAGTACTCGTCTTAAAACCCATAGAGCTGTTGCGTGGCACGCGCTCGTTGCGCTAGAAGGAAAGAAAAAAAAAAACGAGAGAAGATCGACAGATACAAAGGGGAGGAAGAAAGAGTTGAATTTGAGGGGGGAGGAACGAAGGGGAAAGACGACAAGGGAGAAAAACTTGGAGGACAAAGAGGGAGAGAGAAAGAGAGGGGAGGGGAGGAACGAGTCGACAGAGAAGGAGAGTAAATAAGTGTGCGAGAGAAAGGGGACGGAGGAAAGAAAGAGGGAGAGGGAGAGAGAAAAAACACGAAAGGGGAGAGAGAGAGAGACGAGCGGATCGTCTCTCCAAGCGAATCGCCGGCGAAGGGGCGAGTATCTCTCGCGCGCGTCTCGCGAGTGCATCGCGAGTTTGGATTTTCGCGTCTCGCGACTGCATTTGAATAATAGCGAAAAAAAGTAATAAAGAGAGAACGAAAGAAAAAAAAGGGGGGAAACCGTCCTCGATCGGATCCACGGGAAATTGTTTACTCCGAAGTTCCTAAAGGTGTCTCTGAGAACTGTTGTCAATTGTGATGGATCCGGAGTGAAGTAATACTTTATTATATATTATCGATTTCGTTATCGATCGACATCCCTCCGGCCTTCAATTCGCGTGACTGCCGTGATTGCCGAATCCGGCCGAGGCAAGGGACACAATAAAATTCACCGCGTTCGTCGACCGCGAGACTCACCGGTTGGTATGAGTCACCCTCGCCCGACCCGGTTTTGTTATCGAGGTGAACGTGGCAAATGTTAATCGAAGCGAGAAAGGTCTCCTACCGGAGATCGAGCGCGCGAATCGATCGATCTTTTTTCTTGCGACGCGAGAAGTGACTGCGAATCGCGTTATTTTTTTAATTACAATGCTTGAATGGTAAGCACAATCACGCTAGCCGGCGTAGATTTTTCGGGAGCTTTCAGCTTTGCGTCGGGAAAGAACTCTGAACCGAAACGGGATTTTGAGCGAGAGATGTAGAGAACAAAAGAGCGAAAAAAAAATCTCTTTGAATTTGAGAGAAGAATCTGGAAGAATCTCTTATCTTGATGAGAGAAGTTCGAGCGAACAGGATTTCTTGAGAGTGATTTCACTTAGAGAGAAAGAGGGGGGGAGAGAGAGAGAGAGAGAGAGAGAGAGAGAGAGAGAGGGAGCACTTGTTAGTATTCTAGAACTGTCTTCTAAGAACGAGCAAGTTGAAATAAAAGTGATATAAAGAACAAAGAAGATTTACAATACAATTTAATTGCGAAGAAGAAAGAAAATCATACATGTATAAACTTGAAAATAAAATCAAATAAAATAAAAATAGAATACAAAATATGAGATAAGTACAGATGACGAGAATTCAAGTATCACAAGTTGCATAGCTAAGTTTTACCTCGCCTTTGTAAAGAGAGAGAAAAAGAGAGAGAAAGAGCGAGGGGAAGGGAGACAGAAAGAGAGAGAGAGAGAGAGAGAGGGAGAGAGAGAGAGAGAGAGAAAGATCGCCACTTTCCTGAGTCGAGTTCAAGAACAGGAAAGGGAGCGGGTGGAGAAAGGGCGGGGATAGAGGGGTCATAAAAGCGGTCATGCAACGAGAATGGTGACGAAAACTATATGCTGTTGCGTCGCTATACGATTTTTATACGGTTCTCGAACAAGGTCGTGCGCGAGTGGAATGACCGTGATTTAAACCCGTGAATTATCGCGCCCGCGTGCGTGCGTGCGTGCGTGCGTGCGTGGTGCGTGCACGCGCACGCGTACGTGTCCGCGCCCGGTTCGACCGGGCGGACAAGCGAGCGGACAATAAGGGAACAACGAGGGAAGGAACCCGTTCGTTGTCTTTTCTTCCAATCCGACAAATGCCAGCTGCCCTTCGGTCCGCTTCGGTACAACTCGCCACGCGGACCTTCTGCGCTACGTGATCACCTCTGGACGTCCCACGAGTGACACGCAGGTATGTATAAATAGAAATCGAAATGTACGAACACGTATCTATATACATACGCGAACGGCGAGAGTGACTCTCGACTAGTCGCAGCATTGCGCGACTCGACCTCTCCAAGAATGACGCAAGAGAGAACAGTCGTTCTCTTTTTTTCTCTCTCTATGGAAAAACCGTGCGTCAGAAAGCAACAGAAATTATTAACAATAATTTTTTATGCATTTTACTCGGGCTATTCCAGAAGCATATAATAAATTTTTTGCGAGCAACGAGCTTCGTTGATTATAAATTATCCTTTTTTTCGATGAAATCGAAATGCAACCTCCTACGCTTTGTGCTGATCGGTTTCTTCAGTTTTATTTAAAAATAGAATTTAAAGGACGTATTGAATTTATACGGAGTTACGATATTAATAAAATAACCCGTACAGCATAGAAGCTTGCAATAATATTGCTGTAATATTTGTAATGTTACTGCAATATTGCTGGAATGATCTACGAGAAGCTACTCATCTTCTTTAACTCTTCATTCGCGAATATTCAGAACATACAAATTTATTAAATATATGAATGCTATTTATATTATACATTATTACATTTAGCGCTAATTGTTTCATAATTAAAAAAAAATATTTTTGTGTTTATGTTTATTTAAAGGATGTATAGAATATTATCAGAGTCTTTATTTGATTATAAATTACCAAAGAGAACGAAGAAAATTGAGATTTAATATGAAAGAAACGTCCCACGTGAATTATTACATTTGAAAAAGTACGTGAGTAATGTAAGATTAAAAAGTTCCAATGTTCGCTTAAATGTCAAACCCGAGATTATGTCTATATTATTTTTTCACAATTGATAAATGAATGGTGACGACAGTGATTGCGAAGTTCTTTCGGTCTTGAAATATTTTTATTTTTATGATACATAATTTCTGTAATATTTAGTACAATACAAAGTTTCTTTCAAAGTGGCTTGTAGGGATTTCGATTATTTACAATAAAGGTATCGTGATAAAAAATTGCAAGAGTTACGACGTGCGTTCTTCCAAAGGAAAGAGAAAAAAATATTAAATTACGCACGCTTAAAAAGGAAATTGAATTTCCTGAGTTGCATTTATATATACTTTTAACAACCAGATGTATGCGCCAGTAAAGACGCTCGGAAGTGGTTGACCTTCGAGTGCCGCCTCGATGATCCTAAAGACTGATGAAATCCAACGCAGCACATCTTTAAATTTTCACAGAGGCAACACACAATCTGTCTTTCGTCTAAATTTTAATTGCCCTTGTTGAGATTTAGACTCTAAAACCCTCCTTCCGGGAAATAAAATCCATGTTTGCTCTATATTTGCTCTCAAACGAAAGTCAAATACCAACTTTCAAGTATTTCCAGAAATCATTCATACATACGTTGATCATTTTTGAAGGATGTATTATATCTATTTTACAAAAATACGTTAATTTATACTTTAAATAAACTATATACATGTGAAAGTTGTGTTTGTTAACAATCTATTATGTTGGAATTAATTCGTAGCGTTTTTTAATGAAAGAATGTTATTTATTTCACATGAGCATTAAAAAATACATTAATGAAAGTACTTCCCATCACTTGTAAACCGCTACGAATTAATTCCAACACCTAATATTTCTTAGTTTTCTTAAATAACACATTCTTGTTAAGTTTCACTTTATTTGATATTATTTTTATCGTTATAAATTTAAATAAAAAGAAACAATGACAAATTGTATTAAAAAATGACAATATTCTATGAAAAAATTGAGATTTATATCCTTATTTTATAATACGTTTCCATACATTTCTATTGAAGCACAGATTAAAAAAATAGTTAAAGAAAATTAAATTTAGGCTCTGAAGAATAAATCAAAGAAGTTATGAAATGCCAATTTGAGTCAGGCACAGTTATATATATGTGAATTTATTTTAGTGAAGGTATACATAAATGTCTTTAATATAAATGTTTCGATCCTCAGTTGTGGGTCCTCTTCAGTTCAAAAATTCATAATAAAATGTCGTGTTACAATGATATAATATGGTCAATTTCTCATACATCTGATTTCATGATCAATTAGATAAAACAATAATTAGATAAAACAATAAGCAAGAACGGGCTATAAACATTCTTTTTTTCTAATAAATTAATTATAATTAGTTTATTATCACTTATTTTTACTTACATGCGATTACCAAAATGCAGCAAACCATAATCATTCATATACTATCAATAGATTTGCAGGTTTACTGTGTGTCATAAATTAAAATTATTTAAAACGTTTATATTGAAGACATTTATTTACACCTCCAATAAAATAAATTCGTACATGTATAACTGCCCTGCTCAAATTGACATTTTACACATTCTTTAAAAAAATAGTATTTCTTATTTTGAAATAAGTCCTGATCTAGATAGAGAATAGTGGCTAAATTTTTTATTATTTTTAAATGCGGTCTAAAATAAGCTGTAATGTTTTAATAACTTCTTCATTATTTTGAAAATATATGTAATACATCCTTAAATTATTTATGACGTTAGATTGGATTTTTTAAAGAAGATTACTTTTAACATCATATCTCTTATTTTGCTAACATTGCATTTCATACTTCATATCTCATATAAATTTATTTATGTATTTTTGTGATGCTTCTAATAGCAATTTCTTAATTACCACAATGAGCGCAATTACTCGCGAAAGTAGCGAGTTATGGAATTGAAAACGCAGCAGATAATACTTTGTTTATCATTTCGTTGTTGCACGTATTTTCAATGTTTACGATCGCGATCCAACTGCGTGCACTATTTGCTCAATGTACCGAAACTAAATATTTGAGTCTGACGCGGAGATCGAAACGGTCAAAAGTTCTGCAGTCGTTATTGAAATTGCCGTCACGACTGTTTTGTTTATGAACGGCTCTTCGCATTTTCGTTCTTTGTCGGACTTTCGAAAAATGTAATTTCCCGAGGAGTGACGAAACTCCGACATAAAGCTTTTATGATTATTTAATGTTAATGAGCTATGTATTTTGGATATAGTTTATTATTCTGGATTCGTTTTATCTCAAGATTGAGTTTATATTCTCTCTTCTAAACTTAAAATAATCATTTTTATTTTACGGTAAAAATGAAAATTTTAAAGAAATGAATTATAAGAGTGACAATAAAACTCTGTCTTTTATAATATTTATATTCACACATTTTAATTGTTTTTATTTTCAAGCTTCATTCTTTATGAATTAAAGAATATATTTTAAGTAATAAACGTAACATCAAATGTATTCTTTTAAGCAATAAACTTAAAAAAATTTTTTTTAATATGAATTTTTTAAATATAAAAAATATAGGAAAAAATATAGGAAAAAAATGTTTTTATCGTTAAAAATCTTTCTGACGATTGTCAAGATTCTAAAAATTAGAAAAATAAGTTAAACTGAGATTAAAGTTAATTTTTACGTTGGTGGAACTGGTTTAGACCTTTTTGCTCTCTAAGTTTTTTTCTTTTCAAATATACCTACATAAAAGATTTTTTGGAATCAGGTAGATGCAGGCGGTAACATTCTTTGATGGCCACAACCATGGGTGCCTTTTAATTTTTCTACTAGAAATGAACTAGAAATTTTCTTGCCAAAAATCTCACTATCCGGAGATTCGATTGCTACATTAAAATTGATATTTTCTCGTAGCTCTTTCTATTAAAAAAATTTCTTCTGCAAAAAAATCGACGCACAAATTTAAAAAAAGATCATCAAAATTCAAGAGTGATTAGTCCAAGATTTATTTCATCTGCCGGAAAACCGGAAATTCATTCAAAAAGCCGGAGCCTCCGGTCGAAAACCCGAGAAATAGCAACCGTATTCATTCCATGTCAGTGATTCATACACTAAAACTTGAGTATTATCCGAGCGTCGAACAATTTCTTTGAAACGTTCCGTAACTTCATTATTTCTTTTCTAAATTCAAAGTGGAAGTTCATTAGAATATTTTTCGATAAGTGTACAACCTTTTAAGTAATAAAAACAAGACAATTTTTTATCTATCATTCTGTTGTGCTTCTTTAACGCAATGTGACTGCATTTGTTTTATAATTAGTTACTCTGGCTAATTGCGGAATTTATCAAGTAAATGCGATTTTAATAAGTAATTGTGATTTATCAAGATATATTTTTACATTTCATGCGATATTTAGGAGCTTAAGAGGAAAAATACATCTTTTGAATAGATGAAAGATCGAATAAACGCAAACTGTTTAATTGTTAAATGGCCGTAATCATCATTTAATTCCCTATAATAGAATTTTTGTTCATGAAAATGTTACAAGCAATAAATAGAAAATATTAATGAAATTATTGATACTTAAAAATTATAAATATGTGTAATTTTCAAGTCATTTTTATATTAATACAATGATTAAAAGTTGCACATATTTATTATCGCAAGATATATTTCAACATTTTAAAATAATGCTCAAAAATAAGAAGAAGATAGTTTCTGAATAGATTATTATTTATATAAATTACACTTTAAGCGGTTGTCATCGCTTAATTTTTTTATAAAAAATTTTTTGTTCGTGAAAAAAATTAATTTATTATAGATATATGGATATGACTTCCAAGTCATATTATTATAGTACAATTAAAAATTATCTACATTTATTATATATTTCGCGAGATATATTTTTTTACATTTCATGAGATAATCAAGAATAAGAATACGGCTTCTACAAACAAACAATATAAGCTGCCCTATTTAATTCTTAAACGGTTGCAATCGTCATAATTCTCTATTATAATAAAATTCGTTAGTCATGAAAAAAATCACACAAGCGGTAAATGGAAAATGATGATGAAATTATTCTGCTTAAAAAATTATCATCAAATATATCATCAAATATATCATCAATTATCATAAAATACATACAATGGATGTGTAACTTTTAAGTCATTTGGCGTTATAATAATTAAAAGCCGCCCGCATTTGTTATCGCAACCTTGAAC